TCACTTTTAATGTAAATCGCATCGTACTACGTATTTAAAATCGGGCGCTATAGAGAGGGAGACGCTATTTAGGGGGGCGCTATAGACAGGTTTAACTGTACTTCCTGATCATGTGTAAGTCTGATATTTTGTATACTTATTTATTCCCACCAACATTGAAACTGTACAAAACTTCATATTTCTAGTAGGCCGTGGTGATCGCGGGGATAGACTATAGAATATAATTTGTATATTTCCTTACAAAAGAGTAGTAATAGGTACAACCGTTTCTTTGGCGTAGTGAACGACTGAAGTTCCAAGGATTTGGGGTGGTCGGAACTGGACTTATTTCCATATTTCCTTTTAAATATTATGACCAAGTTTTTTATAATTCTAGGCCACATAGAAAAATTTGTATATATTCTAAAAGAAGAAATAAAAAAAAATTTTAGTCACAGAGGTTTCTTGAGAAATCAAGAAATAGGTATATGAAACGCTCATGCTAGAAATCAGGATATACTTAATTTATTTTTTTTATTTGAAAAAATATATTTTGAATTATTTACGCTTATTTTGGATAAAAAAATATTTATTATAACTTCCAATATTTCGATGAAGCTGTTCGCTTATCTTCCTCGGGATTTTGATCCAAAATAAGCGTTATTCATTCCAAGTATTTAAAATGGATTGTTCGAGTTTCAGCACAAAAACATACCGTTAAACCTGTCTATAGCGCCCCCTTTTAGGACTCACCAAAATAGGGTGCTATAGAGAGGAGGTGCTATAAACAGGTCACTTTTAATGTAAATCGCATCGTACTACGTATTTAAAATCGGGCGCTATAGAGAGGGAGGCGCTATTTAGAGGGGGCGCTATAGACAGATCTAACTGTATATAAAAAATATTAATAGTTGTCTCTAGTATGTCTCTAAATTGATTTAATAAATATGTTTTAAATATAGTTTTAAAAAAGTTTATATAAAAAATGCATTAAAAAGGATTAAATAAATATTTAAGCTTCTTTCCCATTGAACAATTCGACTTATGAGTCAGAATAAAAGCGGTGAGGGACAATTCTATATACAGTTACGAGCGTCATCCGTTCTTAATTCTTCATCTCCTAATCATTTGTCATCTCTGTCACCGTTTGATTTTTTTTTTTGGAATGGCCCTCTCCTATTGGTTGGCTACGATCACGCCACCTTTGCCCCCCCACTCGCTTTTTCGTTTTTGTAACTATTGTGTTGGAGCGGGTCGCTCCTTAAATAAATGCATATATTAGTTAATACCTAAATGGAATCCTCTCTTATTGTATATAATTGTAACAAATAGTATTTGAATAAAAACATTCAATCGGGTAAAACACGGGCGTTGCCGGGGTCATTCGGCTAGTAATCCTATATTGAGTGAAGAGATAAAATAATTAGTGGAACTCTCTCTTGCTATCAGTTTGCTCCATGTTAAATTAGATTAAGTTCGGAATTCTTGATGAGATTGTCCCTTGTCTTTTCATTTTGATTAATCCCTATACAGTTAAACCTCTCTGTCTATAGCACCCCCCTCTAAATAGCGCTTTCCTCTCTATAGCGCCCAATTTTAAATACGTGTACGATGCGATTTACATTAAAAGTGACCTGTCTATAGCACCCCCTCTATATAGCACCCTATTTTGGTGAGTCCCAAGAGGGCGCGCTATAAACAGGTTTAACTGTATATATAAAAGTCAGTGTATGTATGTATGTATGTATGTATGTATGTTTGGCGGCTATACACGTCCACATTACGTAACTAATCTGGCTGAAATTTTAACAGTATATAGAGTTGAATCTGGAAAACCTATAGACAATATTTCAGGCTTCTATCTTGAATATCCTTGAAGTTATTAACAATTTATCAACAAATTTTCCTATTTCACTCGCAACCAGCGCCTCACTGCGGCAACTTCGAGAATTAAAGTTGAGGAAGGATAGCCACGTGGAGCGACGGTGACCTTGAGTGACGTAATGATGGCGTAATTAAGAAATCACTTGCTATCATTTTATTTATATATCACAAATTTAAAATATATTCATATAAAAAATCAAAATAATAAAACTTTCAAAGATCGTTGCGAAAATTTACATTTTTATTTTTTTTAAAACACACTAAATTTGGAGCGTGACATTCACAAGAGTGACATCCACGACACCAATTTATAATTGTAACAAATAGTATTTGAATAAAACATTTAATCGGGTAAAACCCGGGCGTTGCCCAGGTCATTCGGCTAGTATATAATAAATTTATTTTACTCCAATTTACCCAGAATACCCATCTACTAACAAATTTTCTGTATTTTAAATGATTAATAATGATGGTGTTGATTGCTGTCGATCCAATGCCCACACTTTTCTCTAACTGTTGATACGTAATTCTTCGATCTTCTCTAAGTAAATATCTTACCAGCTCAATTTCTTTCTTGGGACACTACTATTGGCGGTCGACCTGATCGAGGTTCATCTTCAAGATTTGATTTTTACAAATTTAAATTCATTAAACCAATTAAAAACGGTTCTAATATAAGGAGCTTTATATCTTAAAGTTTTCATCAATCTTTTATAAGATTTTTTAGAAGATAAATTACTTCTATAATCATAAATATATGTTTTCCGTTCTATTCAGTGACGGCAATTTTTAAAACTAACGGAATAAACAGTTAATAAAATAATTTAAGCAATTATATTTAAGGAACTAAATATATATTGGGAATTCCTCACAACAACAAAACGTTTATCAGAAGATATTAATACTGATATAATCTTTTTTCTCCAATTCTATTATCAAAAGGATAGTAAAAGTTCATAAAGATAAGCGCTGTTGTCGTATCCAATGAAGAACCTCAGAAATCTCCGTACATACAAAGATAGCGCTGTTGTCATATCCAATGAAGAACCTCAAATGTCTCCGTACATACAAAGATAAGCGCTGTTGTCGTATCCAATGAAGAACCTCAAATGTCTCCGTACATACAAAGATAAGCGCTGTTGTCGTATCCAATGAAGAGCCTCAGATGTCTCCGTACATACAAAGATAAGCGCTGTTGTCGTATCCAATGAAGAGTCTCAGATGTCTCCGTACATACAAAGATAAGCGCTGTTGTCGTATCCAATGAAGAGTCTCAGATGTCTCCGTACATACAAAGATAAGCGCTGTTGTCGTATCCAATGAAGAACCTCAAATGTCTCCGTACATACAAAGATAAGCGCTGTTGTCGTATCCAATGAAGTCTCAGATGTCTCCGTACATACAAAGATAAGCGCTGTTGTCGTATCCAATGAAGAACCTCAGATATCTCCGTATATACAAAGATAGCGCTGTTGTCGTATCCAATGAAGAGTCTCAGATATCTCTGTACATACAAAGATAAGCGCTGTTGTCGTATCCAATGAAGTCTCAGATGTCTCCGTACATACAAAGATAACCGTGTCTTCGGATTAAAACTTTGAGTGTTGGGAAAGATATATTTCTATCCCTCTAGAATATAGAGATGTGCAACAGAAGGAAAAAAGATCATTTCAAAATATCTTATCTTTGCACGAAACAACTTTCCTCATTTTGTAATTCATTTATCTTCTGCCAAGTCTTTTTTTCTTCTTCACGAGATGCTCTCTGAACTTTTTAAGCGGAGGTGCTGACAGCTCGGTATATTTACATATTTGAAAATACAAAAATATATCACCACAATGAGTTTATTTTAGATTAAAATAAAAGCTTTCAAGAAATAATCGCTTTTCAATAGGCTCAATAAAAAACATCGACTGTAAATCTTACAAGAATTACTCATTGTGGTAAAATATTGTATTTTCAAACTTTTTCACAATCATATAATGAATATTTGCATATTATATATAGGATGGAAATTATTGATTGATATGACCTAAACTCTAACATTAGACAATCGCACATATGCGACGGAGATGTCAAAAAGGATCTATTTATTTAATTAAAATTTGATCGGGAAGCTTTATTAACCTCAGTAATTTTCTCTTAGTTTTACCTTGAATCTTTCATTTTGACCTGAGAAGCATGTCAAGTTTGATATAAAAATACTAGATTGTCTTGTTTTTCAAGACTTGAATCGAAAATAATTTAATAGTAACAGATCCAAGTATTTTTATATCCAGTAAAGAAATGTATATTAAATTCAATACCTTTTGTAAATATATTTAAAATTATATAGCAACAAATATATTTTGAGAAACTGATAATTTATAGTATTCTTATTGTACATATTAACAGACCTTTCTTTCTTTTGTACACAGTTCTTTTTTCCAGTTTTTTCTCTCTTTCTCATTGTTAACATCATATGACTATTCTATTCACGGCCTAAGAATTTTGTTATATATGTATAGACAAATGTCATACATGTATGACAGCGTAAGTGTCCCTAGGGGGACATAGCGCTTTAAATTGGAATAAAATAAAATTTGATATAAATCATTATTGGGAGACATATCATCTATTATGTGAAAAAAATAATAGAAAAAAATAAAAAGTTAAGATATTGATATCATAAATAAAGAAGGCATATCCTGACCAGGAGCACATGTGCTTTTTAGATGGCGCTCTGTACATGTGCTCCTGGTCAGGATATGACTTCTTTATTTTTTATCATATCCCCCCAAATGCGATTCCAACCAGCCAGTCCTGAACATCTATTGAATTGTATCAAATCCTTCAAAAAATACCCCTGGGAAAATCCCAAGACTATAATAGAAAAGCTGAGAAAATGGAACCTAATGGAGATTGTTTAAATGAATTTTGAGTTATAAGCAACAACATTTTTATCATCTTTATATTAATAATACAATATAATGCGGCTTATGATTGTAGAACAACGTCTGACAAGTTTTACCGCAAATGTTTCTTTTTACAGAACGAAAATTCGTAATTTCAAGGAGAAATAACGATTATTTCTATCATAATCTGCATTATATTGTATTAAAATTAACTTTATATAATATTTACGAACGGAAAAATATGTCCAGGGTAGCGTAGTGGACATGGCATCTGCCCGGTAAGTGGAACATTGTTGGTTCGATTTCCATCTCTGGACACTTTATTTTTCCGTATATCATTACTCTCCACAATTAATCTTTTCATACTTCATCCTTAAGGATAGAAATAGTCGTTATTTCTCCTTAAAATAAATTACGATTTTTCGTTCAAAAGAAACATTTGTGGTAAAATTGTCACACGTCGTTCTACAATCATCTATTATGTTTAGAATCCGTTAAATTAAAAAAATAAAAAACATATTTGTGAAATTCTATGTTTGGAAAATGGTTGAAGCTGTAGAGCAATTAGGAGCACATATGGGAATACCATCAAATATAATTACTATGTTTATTTTATAGTGATGAAATGACTGTAGGTATTTTTTATTCTATTTCGACTTTGAGCACTATGTCCCCTAGGGGCACTTGTACTTTAAAGGTAAACTAAACATTAAAAAGAAAGAAAGATATTTGAAATATGTACAATAATTATTATGCAAGTTAGATGAAAAGAGAAAATATATCAAAACAATTGAAATATGTACAAAGGGATGGTATACAAATTTAGTTAAATGAAATACAAATTTAAAGTATTGTGTGTATTTAAAGAAAACAATTTACAGATTGAAGAAAGTTTTAAGTAATATTTTAGAATGAAAATATACAAGATATTAAAGAATTATTCAATTAAAACTATGCTAAACAGAGTTAATTTCAAATAAAAAGCGTTCTGAAGAAATTTAGTAGTTTTTTTATAATGTAGGTATTTTTATAACTGTATAAAAGAATAAAGATGAATATATCTAATTTTAAAATAGACTCTGCCTCGAATAGAGACGCGGTGAGTTTTGGCAAATTTGGAAAGTACACCCGTTGGGTTTGGCCAACCAAGGAGCTATATAATTTCACCTGATTTTAAATTTACGAAATCTCAATTTTTCAAAAGTTATTTAGCTTAAAGTATAGGTAAAATATTTTATTGGACTTCAGATTAATCGATTGTTGATTTCTAGCGAACATCAACGAATGAATAGGAGAGGCGATAGACCATGCAGTCCATCAGCTTCCATGTTGACATTTTCTTTCGTCCTGGTACAACCCCCATGAAGTTGAACATAAGGTAGTGGGCTGGCGTGAGATGGTATCCCAACCGCCGGGTAATGCCAACGAAACGCAGCCTTGGTGATCTCTCGATCTGATCCTAAACAGCTTAAATTGGCTGAATAATTTAGCTTGAAGTGACTGAGTTAAATATATGGCAGAATATCACTGTAGATTTGCGAGCGTAGGGTCACTTCCCTTTACGCCTCGAAGCTAAGATTAAAAACAACCAATTCTGCTGAATACACTTCGTTTATTTTTGAAAAGTTTTTGAATGAAAACACGCGATCCCTTTTCACGCGACTGCCTGCTAGCGAGAGCAGTCCCCTCCCAATCACCATGCAAATCCCCAACTACATCTACATGTTTCTATTCTATAACTATTCCACATATTTACATTCACAATTTTTTATTAGGAAGAAAATCAAATTTTATAATTTCAAACGTTGAATATCTTAAATAGTTTTGAAGTAAAACTATTCCGTTTCTAAGTTCTTTTATTCAGCCATATATAAAACAATGCGGGATTTTGAGTAAAAGCTCTTCGACGGTCTAACGATAACTACGCAAGAGAAACTGTAGAAATGATAAAATTTACATATAAAATTTACATAATTCGAAACTATTATAGACGTGTATGATTCTTTTTTGAAAAATATACAATTTCTGGGAAGGTTCACCACTAATGAGCCAGGCCCTCCCATCAATTTTTCCATTGCAGTAAGAACAGTAGAAATTGTTTAATTTTTAAGAAGAATCATACGCGTTTATAAAAATTTCAAATTTTGATAACAGATGACGCGCTAATGCATCATAATATAATTTACATATAGAGAAATAATAGTTTCTGTTGTTAGAAATGCTATAGGATTCTTTTTAAAATAGAAACAAATATCAACTACCCTTACTGGAATATTTCTAATGTATTTACATTGAATTAATTAAATTTGTTAAAATATTCAAAATATCTTAATTAAGAGGCAACAAATTTTAAAATGGATAAAAATGACAAGTGCACAAATCAAACCTTAAAGCTGAGGGCGGACAATAAAGCGACTGCAAAAAAAAAATCTCTGAATTGACAAAGTACAATCAAAGGACGATTCACAGTGAAATTTGTCTTGTTCGGAAACTAGATGTGTGAAACCACGTGGTCACCTTTCTGTTATCCTCTCTCTCTCTCTCTATCTTCTGCCAGTTCACCTCGGTGACTACTTAGACAACGTAAGCATAAGGCTCTTACGTGGGTAATATGATAAGCTTTCTTTCTGGTGCTGTATAACCTCCATGAGCGGACATCTATCTACAAAGGCAGTTTACATTTCCAAAATGATTTTTTTTAATTATCCCATTGTATAATTATACAAGGTCATGGAGACTATATTCATTGATCAAATTCACAATCCTGGCAGTGTTGGAATACAGGTCCTGTCTTGAGGCTCCCATACATTCCAAGAGGTGGTCCGGTGAGGCCTCTTTGGTCTTGCAGATGGTACATTGTGGAAAGGTCTTTACACCATCCTGGAAGAGGAGTGGTCTTGTATGGCCAGTTTTGAGCCTGGAAATACAGGTTGCTGCTTGTCGGTTCATCCCACATTCTAGAATAGCTCCAGGCTTTTGGTTCAGATGGGATGTTGACTCCTGTATTTTTGTTTCTATGTTTCTTTTTTGTGTGCGTTTGAAAAGGTCAAAATCAAGATCTAAGTTGAGTTTTGCTGATTTGGCCAATTGCATCCACTGTGTCATTGTCTTTCAGTCCTATGTAGGATCCACTGGAAGCTGACTTGTGTGTCCCTGTGAAGCTTGTCTAAATTCAGAGAAATCTTCTTCTGAGACAGAGCTGGTGTAACAATGGCTGCTGACAGAGCTGGTGTAACAATGGCTTGTATAGCGAGTCTGTAAAGAAAATAAGTTTATGTGAATTGCCAAAATGATCATTTTTACTAATTAGCTGTTCTCCGTTAAAAGGATATCTGTCTATAGAAGACACTTTGACTCATTAACTATCTGTCCTTAGACAAAGGGAGTCAACTGTATAATTGATAAGAGATATTCAAAATCAAGAGTTTTAAGAATTTATTCAACTCCTCACAGATAGACCGCAGACAGAAACTTCCCCCACAGGGATCTAAACGGCTGTCTGTTGATCATTGGGTCTTGTACTTATGTTATAAAACAACCACTTTGATATAAAACTTTGTAGTTGCAGAAAGGAATTTTTTTCGACACCAAATAGCACACATTGCTGTTGTTGTCTACTATCGATTGTGTAAGGACTATTGTAGGTTACGGAAGAAGAAAAATTGAGGGAATGAATTGCGCAATAATAGTTTAAAGTCTTTGAAGGGGACTCTTTCAACAGGTAAAAAATGGAAACAAAGATTGTAATTAAAAATAAAAAGGCATTTCCTGACCACGAGCACATGTGCTTTTTAGATGGCAGAGCGCCATCTAGTGGAGCAAAACTAAACTAAACCTATATTTACGTATAATATGTAGAGTCTATTATTGTAAAGGGATGTCGAAATGGCGAACGTAAAACCAATTTTAGTAGTCATTATGTTTAAAAATGGTAATATATTAGTATATAAAAAGATATTTTAAAAGATACATAGTTCAGGTCTATATTCTTCATAAGTGTATATTCAAATTACTAGCTTAAAAAGGTATTAGTAACGTGTTTTATAATCCCTTGTTTCAATATTGAGTAAAATTAATCAGGTCTTCAGGGAAAAGTATCTACTCAAAGCATTTGTAATCTCTAGCTTTCAGGCACGGACGCCCTTCTACAGGAGAAAACTTGGTATAATAATTCGCCAAATGATAACTACAGCCTATGTATTCTTTGCTTCCTTAGTTATTTTATAGAGGCCTATATTTATTTATTTGCTTGTCCTCTTATTAGATATATATATGTCATAAAAAAGACGTATTCTAGTTACGTTACCAATTCATGCAGTCGTGGATGGAAATGAATGATAACTTTTTTCCCAAAATTGTATTTATTTTTTGATTATTTTTTAAAGCAAATAGTTTTTGCATACACTACAACTAACAATGTTATTATCTATTTACAATTAAAAATAATATTAGGTTATATTCCTTTTGTTAAGGATTCCTTTTCATTTTAAAATTTAACTCTGTGATTATAGAATTTTAATTATTTTATGAATAATAAAAATCATATTTTTATTATGTCATTTATTTTTGAATATTTTGTCTAAATTTGTATTATAGTTGATATAAAATATTTTTTTATTTCTATAGAATTTTATAAAATTTTGTAAAACAGTATCCGATTATATTTAACTCGTGTTCTATTGGCGAATTATTATACCAAGTTTTCTCCTGTAGAAGGACGTCCGTTCCCGAAAGCTAGAGAACAATAAAAATGTTTTGAAAAGTAAATATTCAGTGAAATTTAGGCATTTATAGACAATTGTAAGAAACATGGGACAAAATAATCAAAACTTCACAAGAAATAAATGTTGATATTTTTGATGCACCTTTGTTATATCTATGTGTATTTATCAAATTTATTAATTTCCTTTGTAAATATATTTTGGATTCCATTAAGAAAAATGGTCTTTGATGTAACGATCTCAAGGAAATATTGGACATATTATATGGTTGTAAACAATATATAGGTGTATGCGTGTATATGTGTGTATATTTGTATATATTTTAAATTTAATGATGTAACTGTAAATAAAATTCAAAGAATATCTCTATATATGTAAATAATATTTATGAATCTTTCTAAGTTACTTTCTGTGTATCTTTCCATGTTGAATATTTTCTTTGTTATATTTGTATGTATATTTAGCGCAAGTGTCCCTAGGGGGACATAGCGTTTTGAATTGAAATAAATAAAAATATCAAATGTTTTAAGAAACAATGAAACACTTGGGCATGAAAGAAATATAAACCAATAATTTATTTAACTCCCGACGTTGTCA